GACATCCACATTACGGGAGTAAAATTTATGGTCGCGGTCAACCAACTCAAACTCGTGATCCCCACCCTCCATTCTTCTCTGCAAGTTGAGTAGCCATACACGAGATCTGTTTTCTCCCATGCAGAAAGCATTTCCATCATGAAGGATAAACTCCTCTGTGGAATTTAGATCGGTACCCTGAAGCTTGTGCACCAACCTCCACTTCCCCGTGTCATAGTCCTCGAGTTCCCACACGTAATGAAATATTGGCGCCTCAAGAAATGTAGTGTAAGCTACACGAAGTCGACCTTGGAACACGCCAATGCTCTGTCCATTGATGTAAGGATAGCCGGCAAGCTGCAATTTAATGACATGAGAAAGTTTATTCGGATCATTATAAGGATCATACACTAGAACATGATCCTCATTCAGCCAGTGCAACTTCCCTTTATATGGAACAACATTCCCTTTGTCCATGTCTGCTAAATCCACCGGGGATGGAACCATAAGACTCCTCCATTGACCATCTTCGGATGAAAAGAGCACCATCTCCATCAGGGGAACCGGCTCACCTTGAATTGTTTCTCCTTCATGAAATTTAACCTTTCGAATTAGCACCACCATAAATTTAAAGTCATGATTATTGTCTACACATCCTCCATGTTTGTGGAGGCAAAGGGAACAGGGTGCAGGATCACAGAGCAGGCCGATGATATAATCTTTTGAAAGGTGGCCAGGATGAAGGGCTGGAGGAAGATGAACCCATTGCCGGGTTCGCAGATTACACACATAGAAAACTGTTGTCCAATCAGAGCCAGGAGGCTCACTAAAAGAGCATAAAATCAGGTCATCACAAGAAGCATTCACTCCAATTCTGCGATGTGGAAGAAAACTCAAATCAACCCTGTCCACCCGCCGCACGGCGCCACTGGAACTACAGTGAGCAACTGACAGGTAGTCATGTGCCATACTACGAAATCTACGATGACGGTGAAATACGAATAAAAGTCTGTACGGCGGCGATTCCGGATCTTGTGTGGCCGGAGAGAACGGGTCGTGACGGCGGTGATTGAAAACCCTAACGAAATAGGCTGAAGAGATGAGAGAATTCCAGAACTTGCATACCAATTTCAATTGGGCAGCTGTTCGGCACGGGAGCCTAGAAAATATATCAATTAACAAGCTCTCGCACAGGTTATCGAACGAGTAGTAATTTGAGAAACCTTTTATCTTGTTGGCCCCGTGGTTGAGCCTGCGGTGGCGGTGGCGGTGGCGGCAAAGGATTTCGGAATCCAGGCTTAGGCTGCAGTCGCTGCTTTCAGAATCCGAGCAGCGGCTGGGGCGGCCCGAATCCGCCATTGTAATCACTTTGCTAAATTATTGAACTAATATTATTGAACTAATATTATGTGATTTTGCTAAATTTGTACGCTTATCCGGTTATCCCCTATGATTCCAAAATTAACCTCAATCCCCATATGATTCTACTATTTCTAAGCTGATGTTCTTCTAGATAAAATTTCATTCAAAATTTCAAATCATAGGTAAATAACTCTGGTGCTCTCTATAGTTTTGGAAATACACATCAAGTGAAATTTGCACTAAATGGTAGTACTAAAACATAATGATTTTCCTAATGCAGCACTTAAACTTTTTTTCTCTAAATAGGACTTAATAATGACCCAGTGGGAGGAATAATGTCCAGTAATGCTAGACATTTACTTGAATAATGACTAATTAATAATGACCAAAAGTCCTATATTGGGAAATAAAAACATATGGTCTTATATTGGGAAAGTCATTATGTTTTAGTCCAATTTAGATAAATTTCTCTACACATCAATGCCCTCCTCTATTTTTCTTTATTGTTTTTCTTTTTTCTTCTCTTTTTTCATAGTATTTTTTTAAATTTATTTTTTGAAAGTACTTTTTAATATGTTTTAATATCAAAAAATTGTGTTTAAAATAAAAAATCAATGAAATAAAAAGAATTAAAGTACACCTCATTTGTCTAAAATTAAACATTTTCATTTTTTATCGAAAGAGGTCCGTATAAGTTCATTTTTTCTTAATACAAAAATCAATGAAGCATTTTCGTATTCCCACTCTCATTTTTTGTTCATTTTTGGGTTTCTTTTTACCTTTTTTATTTTCTTTGAAAATTAATTTTATGACGTTTCTTTCATTTTAATCAAAATTAAAATAAAAAAGAATAGAAAAGAAAATTAGGAAAAAATATATGTGACAAATACTATTATAGAATATGGAAAATTATGTAATGAAGGAAATATGTTGTGTATCGATCCAAAAAAGGTTATGAGTATATAATTAACTAATTATACAAAAACAAATTTAAGAAATTTTTTAGATAAAAAATGAAAATATTTAGTTTAAGACAAATTAAGTATATGTTAAAAATTTATTTCATTTTTTATTTCAAACACAAACAAATTTAATTTTTGATACATTTAAAAAATGTAGTTTTGGAAAAAAAATTATTATTTCAGACACAAATATTTTTCTTTTCTTCATAAAAAAAGATAAGAAAAAAGGAAAACAATAAAAAAGAAGAGATGAGGGTGGTATCCATTTCTAAACCATAGGGGAAATCGGAGCAAATCATCTAATATTTAAAGGATATTTTTAGTCTAAAAGGGCATTGACATAGAGATATTAGAACCAAATAGGGGCAATGACGTAAATTTTGAAACTATGAGGGGTAACAATGTACACTTACCGAACCATAAGGAGTATTGGTAAAATAAAATCACATATAAATAGCATTCAATCACATATAAATATATTCCATATAAATACACAATATATTGTACAAATATTTGTCTTTTTGAATAATACATTTATGTATTTTATATTGATTGAAGCAATTACAATTCTATAATATTGTTTGGTATAAAAATCATATTATATTCATTTTAATATTAAATGAAATACTAGATATAAATATTTTATATTAAAAACATTTTTATAAACTTGGTATTAAAAACTTCCCATTCGAGTCACCCTCTATCCCATATTGATCACCTACATTTGGGCATGATGCTTGGCCCAAATTTTGCACAAAAGGGCAAAAACTAGCCTCGGAGTTGGCCCAGATCTGACTCCGATCCGTGTTTGTACAAGTCTATTATGGATTTATGGAGTTATTCGTGCTTGTAAATGGGCATGTTTAGTTCTAATAAAAATTTAAGAAAAATGCTAGGGGTACACCAAATGTGTACCTCATTTGTCCCCCACCCCCTCATTGTCCACACAAAAAAGGCAAGAAATTCAAAAAAAAAAAAATAAATAAAAATAAAATAAAAATGGGTGGTGGAGAAGTGGGTGGTGTACAAATGGGGTACCCCAAATGGTGTACCCCTAGCATTCCTCAAAATTTAATTCTAAAGTCAACAAATTTTAGAGGGGTGCAATTGAAAAGGTGGGGGAGGGGTTCGGGTTAGGCTAGGATGAAGGGTTTACCGAGGTTAAGCGAATAAGAACTATTAGTTTTTTTAAATAAAGCACCATAAGACCCTCGAGTCATCCCATAATATTTGGCCCGATGTCATGTGAAATAAGTCATCATTATTATTATTTTAATTATTATTATTATTATTAGTATTATTATTATTATTATATTTACTATTATTATTATTATTATTAGTATTATTATTATTATTATTATTATTATTGTTATTGTTATTGTTGTTGTTGTTGTTGTTGTTAAAGCATGTCTCTTTACCTTAAAAAGTACACCATCCTTAGGGCATTAGAAATGGTGCTAACGCCCAAAAGCGTTAAGTGTGTTTTAAAGCACGAGCAATATTAAACACTACCCCCTTTACTGTCATCCGGGCGTTAAAATGACTACGTTAAAGGTTTAATGCAACGCCTTTCCCTTTCCAAACGGTTCTCCCCCCCCCCAATGGCCATAATTTAGATCGTTGGGCATTAGTTTAAAAACAATTATTTTCAATATTATAAATACCCTTATTTTTAACACAACAAACACATACAACTTATTCCCATTATCTCTATAATTGTTCTAAAATATACTACCTCCGTTCCACAAAACCTTTCTCCTTTCGTTTTTTTTTGCTTTCACAAAACACTTCCACATTCTATTAAAAAACTACTTTTACCCCAACTTTTTCATACCCTACCTATCACATCATACTTTTTCACTAATAACAAAATTATCACATCTTACTTTTTCTCATCATATCATGGGCAAAATTGGAAGTCAAAATGGAAATGATTTTGTGGAACGGAGGGAGTATTATATTTCTTTTAATTATCTCTACAAAATATTTAAAAAATGAGATCATCATTTTATTCAAATCTTATTATATTAATGTAATTTTTTGTTGAGTGTAATTTTTTATTTAATGAGTTATTGTCATTTAAATTCAATTAAATAATGAAATTTTATTGATTTAATCTTAGAAGATGTGTATTCAAAAATATAAAAAAGTTGAGGTTTGAAGCCTTAGTTTGAAGTTCGGGGCTTCAAACCCATTTCCAGTGAAATTTTGGTGTAAGTTAAAGCTGATATGGCAAAGAGAGAAGGTTTGAAGCACTGGTTAGAAGTCTCGGGGCTTCACGACCATTTCTAGTGCTCTTATGACAATCTTTGGTGTCATAGTATGACACCAAAGAGTACGGTCTATTCGAAAATTGATACTCCGTACTACCTTCGTCTTCAAGTATTTGTCTAGTTTTAACTTTTTTTGGTCAATTATTTTCAATATTTGATCTATAGTTAAACAAAATATATATTGTATATTAATTAGATAAAATAATATTTTAAAAATATTTGATATACTAAATCCAATAAAACTATTCTGTAATAATATATAATTTCATTTTTATTTAATTTGAAGTCAAAATTTATCAATTTTAACCAAAAAATCTTAAGTAGACAAATATTCAAGAACGTGAGAGTAATTCGTACATACCAAATCCTCACCCCTTTCGCACCCCACCCCATGCACCCTCCCCAAAAGGCCAAAATACTATAGTAAAACGGAGTCTATTTATTTGGACGGCTAGATGTTGAAAGAGGAAACATTTGGTTATAACACTACAACTCGCGTAACCCCGAACAAATATCCTAGCAAATCGAGTTGCCGCTAATGGTATCCACATGAAAGCAATTTTAAAAATAATTAAATATCACACTAACAATCATTCAAAATAACTAAAAATAAATCATAAATCGATCGAAGTAAAATAAATCCAAACATTTGCGGAAGCCTTAAATCCAATATCTAAAACAGCTTTAATGCTTTGAGCAATAAATAAACAGAATTTTTAAAATAATAAATAAAGAGCTTCATTCACCCACCCGCGTCACATCTCATTGTCCTCTAAGCTGATCATCTGATCCTTGATTTTCACCTGCGTGCAGTCAAAGACAACAAACGTTATACGCTAAAACTGAATATATCTACCGCTAAAACTAATTTAAAGACTAGCATGTATCAATATAGATACACATAATATCTGAATAATCAGGAAATATCATTATTCAACATTATGTTTAATCTTTCCTTTGTTCAGTTCAAATCTTGCATATTCTTACTACACTCAACCTACCTGGATAAAGTTCTTTTTAACTGACTAAAGTTATTAACACTTGAGCAGATCCTTCAAGGCTATGCTCAATAATCCAAAGAAGAGTTCCGATAGGCGAGTAGGAGTCCCTACCAAAAGATCCCTAGGTAGGTCCCGAATTCTCGTACGTACGTTTTTAACTCATGTCCTGTGAGTTATGTGAAGCTCGTCTCACCAGGCCTAAATTCTAAATCATAACTTAATGGTGATTTCAATATTCTCATCAATTTAATTCAGTTCAGAACCTCCTAGATATATTAGGTGGCCTATTTCACAATTTCAGTTCCACAAACAGTTACCACTAATAAGTTCATAACACAATCATATTCAATTAAGCACAAACATCGGCCTATTGAGGAAGGAGGAACGATGTTCCACCAATTACCGTCATGAAATCAAACATTACAATTTATAATATAACGATTAATAATCAAAAAAATCCTTCATCGAGTTCCACGTCGTAATGGTGAGCTTTTTGTTCCATTTCTTTGGTTATTTTACTGGGAGGTACAAGTGGTACAACAACTTAGAACCATAGACTAAAAGGTACCTTATTTTCAATTTGTAACAAAAACTACCATATCTTAAATAACGTTAACAAAAAAACCCTTGTCGAAATTCAGAGAATTCGACCAGTGACTGACTGACTGCACAAGTGACATTTGAGTTGCCTTTCTAGTGTACGTGTAGCATTCCAAATGGCTTTCTAATTAACGAGTAACTTATCATAGACTAGGTTTAGCTTTGTGCCTTCATATGTATACAGTTGTCAGGTATGAAAGACCCAAGGGTGAAAGATAAGGATAGAGTAGATTAGAGAATGAGAGAACATATTGATGAGTTATGATATTGATTGAGTTCTGATCTTCTTCTCCACATGCCGACTGGATACTGGTTAGGGCAGAAGGTAGATTTATGGAAACTATAAGGGCACAAAAAAGATACCAATGCTTAACAACATACTCCTTACATGGGAGTCGTGCCATTTTTCATAATTTGACCAAGTTTGAACACAGTTTAATTAACTCCTTAATCTGCATGTTATGACCTCTTTGGTTTTGAAATTACTAAAAAGCAAACATGTTCAGTTTCCAATCACACACAGATTAGAAGTTTTGGTCTATTTGTTCTTCAAGGATAATACATACATTTTGTATTAAAATAGGGACAATACTTTATAGTAGAGAAGCCAGGTGCATTGCTATAACAAGGAAGAAAAGGCAATGAATGAGATGCAAGTTAAGAGTGAACGACACCTCGGTGGCAGGACAAGGATGACAGCGGCGTAGGCCACCAATGATCATTGACAATCTGATGGACATACGCTTCACATGAGCAGAAATCAAGGCCATGGGGAACCAACACGTACTTGCGATCCTCATCCACCCCTCCACTTTGGCAGTTGCATAGCCATACAGGAGAGCTGTCATCTTTCCAGCACAAAGCATTTCCATCATGGAAGACATATAACATTGAGGAATTTCGACCGGTATTGTTAAGTCTGTGCACCAACCTCCACTTCTCCATTTCGTAGTCCTCGAGCTCCCATACAGAGTGAAGACTAGGGCATTCATTCCATGCAGAGCTTGTTACTACACGAAGCCGATTCTGGAACACACCAAGTCTCAATCGATCAAAATGGTCAAACTCCATTCTCATGACACCAGAAAGTTTTGTGGGATCATTGAAAGGATCATACACTAGAATATGATCCCTATTCAGCCAGTGCAACTTCCCTTTATATGGAACAACATTCCCTTCAAGCGTCCATAGTGGTATTGGCGGGGATGAAACCCTAAGACTCTTCCATTGACCTTCCTCAGATGAAAAGAGCAATACTTGTATGTGGTTAACCTCTTTACCTGAATTTATTATTCTCCTTCTATATATCTGATGACGAATTAGCACCACCATGAATTCAAGTTTATTAATGTCTACACCTCCATTTGTGCCAAGGCAAAGGGAACAGGGTGGAGGATTAAGAAGAAATCCGACCAAATAATACCGTGCAAAGGTGCCAGGAATATTGACTGGAGGAAGATCAACCCATTGCCGGGTTTGCAGATTACACACATAGAAAGGCTTAGGTTCCTCATCAGAAGAGCATAAAATTAGGTCATCACACGAAGCATTCACCGCAATTTTGCTTGGAGGGCGAGGTGGAAGAAAACTCAAATCAAGCTTGTCCAATCGCAGCACGGCGCCGTTGGAACTGCAGCGAGCAACCGGCCCGCAGTCATCTTCAAACCTATAATACATCCGACGGTGGAATACGATTACGAGCGTGTAGGGCGGCGATTCCGGATCTCGCGTTGCCGGAAAGGATGGGTCGTGACGGCGGTGATTGAAAAGCCTAACGAAATGGTCGGAAGAGATGAGAGAATTCCAGCGCTTGCATACCGATTTGAATCGGGCAGCTGCTCGGCAGGGGAGCCTAGATAAAATATCGATCAACAAGCTCTCGCACAGGTTATCCAGGTGGTCGCAACGAACAATATCCTGGGTGAGGCTGCGGCGGCGGCGGCTTTGGTGGCTGCTTTCTGAGTCCATTGTTATCCCCTAACCAACTCTCAGGTTTTCCGGTAGTTTGCTCATCGCAGTTTTTCGATCCACTGCGGAACGGAGGGGAAGTAGTCAGAGCAAGTAGCAGTTCTTTTTGTTTGTTAAATACTCCGCAAGACTTACTCTATATAAATTAAACTAAGTAAGTTTTATAAGTATTTCTTGCATTTAATTATTAATTTTTCAATTGTTTATCTTTTTTTATTTGAATATACTTTCGATTTTTTAAATAACAAATTTTGTAGATTTTAAAGTGTAAACTAGGCACGTATATACATTCATCTCAATATTTACCAAAACCAAAACCGAACCATCTCGAACCATACTGAACCAATATTTCGAAATCGGAACTGCTACGATGTAAAATCTTATACCGAACCAAAATATTAGGTACTGTATCTGTACAAACCAAATACCGTACGATGCTCACCCTTAAAAGATGTGGGGTTTTCTATCTACTTTGATTTGCATTTTGCAACGAGTAATTTTTTTCTTTTTGATAAATTTTTGGTTAAATTTTTGCTACCTTTATCTTGAATACTCCACAGTTACGAGGCAAAATCTCTTTGCTTTTAAATTCATTTTATTTACAAATTGGTATATCAATAAAAAATAAAAATTACATATTAAAAAAGTACTTCCTCTGTCCCATTTTATAACGCTTGTTTCAGTTTACGATGTTTGACTGAAGTTATTTTCAAATCATTTTATATAACAAATGGTATAGAGTTAAAAAATAAAAATTACATATCAAAATACTACATCAAAAGAACTACAAAACTAATAGTGACAACAAAATTTTATTTTATCAAATTGCTAATGAAAATAGAGAAAGAAAGTGAATGAAGTTTGACCCTGTGAATAATGAACAAGCATTATAATTTGGAACAGAGGGAGTATGTCAAAAGTTCTACAAAACGAGAGGTGACAAAAATGTTTTATTTTATCAAATATTCAAGAAACACAAATAAACAAAAAATTTCGAGAGGATGAAGTAGATCTCTACTTTTGATTTTTTTAGTCAAAATTGATAAAGTTTGACTACGAATTAAATAAAAATGATATTAGAGATCCATTCCGTAACCTGGAAAATGCATTTAGGAAAATGAGTTCAGGAAAATGAATTATTTTTCTGAAATCATTTTCCTTTTCTGGTGTTTGGTTGAAAGTATGAAAAGTTTCTTTTCATGTTTGATGCATTTTCCAAAAAAAAAATAAATATTTAAAAAATGAATTATTTTTAAAAATAATCATTGAAATTTCTAAATGATGATTAACAATGCAAAATCAGTAAATTTGAATCTTAAATCATGAATGAGGGGTTTTGGGATGATGAAGAAGATAAAAACTGACATATGAGCCATCATCATCATCATCATCATGTACATTTCAAAATGGCATCATCACATCTTCTATTCCAAAATTTGTATTCCATCAACTTTTTTGGATCTCCAGACTTCCCCTATGCCTACAACACACACATATATATAGATACACTTCTCTGCAATAGAAGAAGAAGAAGACCATGGGAAATCCCTTAGGGTCCGTTTGGTACACAGAATTGATGGAATTGGAATTGAATTGGAATTAAAATTCCATGGGATTCAATTCCATAGAATTGAATTCACCAATTCCAATTCATTTTTTGCACTACCAATTCCAAATCTACATAATTTTCGTGCTACCAAACATGAGAATTGGAATTGAAGTCCTCAATTCCAATTCCATAGTTTGAATTCCGTGTACCAAACGGGGCCTTAAAGTTGGCTCAACCGGTGCTGCAACTCATACAAATAACAAAATTCATTGGTTGGGAATTGGTTTGTTTTGTTGTAACTCGACTAAAGCTGGTTCAGCTGGTCCACCTAGATGTTGGTGTTTTTGTAAATATTAAAAAGTATAAGGTCTTACAGCAAATATATGTTTTGCAAAGAAAATTCATATTTAAAATTTTCTTTTAATTGTAATACAATTCTAACATTCTTTCGCTTTGTATACCCAGTTTTTTAAGACATCCCAAAACTTTTGCAAAATTTAACATTGACCCCAAAGCGTACAAGTACAACACCAAGTATTCATGCTACATACACATGAAAGAAAAATTACCTGGAGCAATTGGTGCGTGGAGAAGACTATTTGGTGGTGGTTTCTTTAAAGGAGACTCATCGTCTACTGCAACCAAAAGTTAACCATTACAAGCACATAACTACCATATCACTCCCTTCATCTCCGGGGGGGGGGGGATGATCCTCCCAAATCAAACTCATTTTTTCCACTTTTATTCATTCATACCTGGGGATTGTGGGGCCATAACAGGATGTTTGGTTCTTGGGAGCTCAGTCCGGGGACAACTAAGGGGTGAGACTTGGACTGGGCCTTGAGAACTCATTGGAGGAGGAGAAGGGACAATGTCTTGCCTAATCATCGGAGGAGGGGTATGTAGGGGACTGAAATCATTAGGTGGAACTTCTGTAGGACTACTTGGTGACACTGATGCTGCAGGACCTCTCAGTCTTTGAGGTGCATTGTCTAACTCTAGAGGCGGCAATGCAGGCGGTGGAGGGCTCACACTTTTCCCTGAGTTAAGCAAAACCAAAACTTCTAAGGGTATGTATGGTTCCCGAACAATGCAAGCAAAACGAGTGAATGAGATACATACATTTTGTATTAAAATAGGGACAATACTTTATAGTAGAGTATTGTAACAAGTGAAGGGCACTTATTCTAACAAGTCTTAAATCCAATAACTAAAACAGCTTTAATACCTTGAGCAATAAATAAATAGAATTTTTAAAATAATAAATAAAGAGCTTCATTCATCCACCGAAGTCACATCTCATTATCCTCCAAGCTGATCATCTGATCCTTGATTTTCATCTGCGTCCAGTCAAAGACAATGAACGCTATACGCTCGGCTGAAAACTGAGTGAGAATATATCTAACGCCAGAACTAATTTAAAGACTAACATGCATCAATATAGAACCACACAATATGAGAATAATAAAAAAAATATCATTATTCAGCATTATATTTAAAAAAAACATACATTTTGTATTAAAATAGAGACAATAATTTATAGTAGAGTAGCCAGGTGCATTAGTATAACAAGGAAGAAAAGGGAATGAATGAGATGCAAGTTAAGAGTGAACGACACCTTGGTGGCAGGACAAGGATGACAGCGGCGTAGGCCACCAATGATCTGCAATCTGATGGACATACACTTCACATAACAAATGGTCAAGGCCGGGGGGAACCAACTCGTACTTGTGATCCTGGCCCACCCCTACACTCTGGAAGTTGAATAGCCACACACGAGAGCCCTCATTTTCCCAGCACAAAGCATTTCCATCATGGAACATAAAGATTATTGGGGAATTTCGACTGGTATTCTCAAGCTCGTGCACCAACCTCCACTTCTCCATTTCGTAGTCCTCAAGCTCCCATACACAATGACATATAGGGTTTTCATTCACTGTAGTGCTTGCTACACGAAGTCGATTTTGGAACACACCAAGGCTCACTCGATCAAAATGGTCAAAATCCATTTCAATGACACGCGAAAGTTTAGTGGGATCATTGTAAGGATCATACACTAGAATATCATTATAATTCAGCCAGTGCAACTTCCCTTTATATGGAACAACATTCCCTTCAACGGCTTCAAGACCGTATAGATTTCTCGACGGGGATGAAACTGTAAGACTCTTCCATTGACCTTCCTCAGATGAAAAGAGCAATACTTGAATGTGGCTAACTCCATTACCTGAATTTATTAAACTTCTTCTTCTTCTATATATCTGATGACGAATTAGCACAACCATAAATTCAAGTTTATTAATGTCTACACCTCCTTTTACGCCAAGGCAAAGGGAACAGGGTGGAGGATTACAAAGAAATCCGACCAAATAATCATTTGCAAAGGGGTAAGGAATATCGACTGGAGGAAGATCAACCCATTGCCGGGTTCGCAGATTGCACACATAGAAAGGCTTGGGTTCCTCATCAGAAGAGCATAAAATTAGGTCATCACACGAAGCATTCACTGCAATTTTGCTTGGCGGGCGAGGTGGAAGAAAACTCAAATCAAGCTTGTCCACTCGCAGCACGGCGCCCCCGGAACTACAGCGAGCAACCGGCCCGCAGTCATCTTCAAACCTATAATATGGTATCGGACGGTGGAATACGAATACGAGCGTGTAGGCCGACGATTCCGGGTCGTGACGGCGGTGATTGAAAAGCCTAACGAAATAGTCGGAAGAGATGAGAGAATTCCAGCGCTTGCATACCGATTTGAATTGGGCAGCTGCTCGGCAGGGGAGCCTAGATAAAATATCGATCAACAAGCTCTCGCACAGGTTATCCAGGCGGTCGCAACGAACAAGATCCCAGATGAGGCTGCGGCTGCGGCGGCGGCGGCTTTGGTGGCTGCTTTCTGAGTCCATTGTTATTCCCTAACCAACTCTCAGGTCTCGGGTAGTTTGCTCATCGCAGTTTTTCTGTCCACTGCGGATCGGAGGTGAAGGAGCCAGAGCACGTAGGTGAGTACAGAATGATTGGTCCAGTTTTGGCAAACGGTATGAGATAACCTCTCTTATACTGGAAAATCACAAACCAAATACTAAATAAATATACAAATATGTTATAAAAATAATAATATTTTTATATTTCTTCATTAAATTATAAATTGATTGAAAAATTGATTCAAGTGTAGATTAATTAAAAATAATCTTTTATTTAAATAATCATTTATTTAAATTTTAATGTTGTGTAGATGAATATTAAAAAAAATTAACAGACATTAGAGATACTATTTTGTTATCATTCGTTCTCTTTTGTTTGTTAAATACGACGTATAAATTAAACTAAGCTTTATAAGTATTTCTTGCATTTAATTATTAATTTTTTAATTGTTTATCTTTCTTTATTTGAATATAAACTTTTGTAGATTTCAAAGTTTAAACTAGATATGTATATACATTCATTTCAATATTTCCCAAAACCAAAACCGAACCATCTCGAACCATACTGAACCAATACTTTGAGATCGGAATCGCTACAATGTAAAATCTTATACCGATGCTCACACTTGAAGAATAGAAAAGAGGTGGGGTTTTCTATGTACTTTGATTTGCAAAAAGTAATTTTTTCTTTTTGAGAATTTTTTGGTTAAATTTTTGCTACCTTCATCTTGAATACTCCACGAGGCAAAATCCCTTTGCTTTTAAAATAATTTAATTTATAAATTGGTATATCAATAAGAAATAAAAATTACATATTAAAAAAGTACGTCAAAAGTTCTACAAAATGAGATGTGACAAGATTATTTTATTTTATCAAATATTCAAAGAAAACACACAAATAAACAAAATATTTTAAGAGGATAAAGTAGATCTCTACTTTTGATTTTTTTAGTCAAAATTGATAAAGTTTGACTACGAATTAAATAAAAATGATATTAGAGGTCCATTTCGAAACTTGGAAAATGCCTTAAGGAAAATGACTTCAGAAAATGAGTTATTTTTCTGAAATCATTTTCCTTTTCTGGTGTTTGATTGGAAGTATGAAAAGTTTCCTTTTCATGTTTGGTGCATTTCCCAGACTAATAAATATTCAAAAAAAAGAATTATTCTTAAAAATAAACATTGAAATTTCTAAATGATCATTGAAATTTGAATCTTAAATCAAGAATCAGGGGTGTTGGGATGGTGAAGAAGAAGATAAAAACTGACATATGAGCCATCATCATCATCATCATGTACATTTCAAAATGGCATCATCACATCGTCTATTCCAAAATTGTATTCCATCAACTTTTTTGGATCTCCACACTTCCCCTATGCCTACAACACATATATAGATACACTTCTCTGCAATAGACGAAGAAGACCATGGGGGAAAAATTGTTCTATTACTGTACAGTGTACGCGTACCCCGTCCCCAAGTAGTGTCAAAAAAAAAGATCAGTTAGACGCGGGCCACAACCTGAACACCACCCCGCGTTCGCTCACGCTCCCGCCCGACAACCGTCTCATTTTCTTCCACAATCTCCGGGCCCTCCTACCCGCCGCCGCCGACCTCCCGTGGGACCCGCATTCGCGGATCCCGTACCTCATGGACGGGCTCAAGAGGTCTGACATGGAATGCCCGCGCTCGAGGTCGACCTCGCAGTCCGAGTTCGACCGGTGGGAACGGGCGTTCAAAGCAACACCCGCCAGCCCGCGGTCTTCTTCCGCACGACCAACAAGCACATTCTCTTGATCGTCGCGGTTTTGGGTCTCCAAATCTTTGGTCTCACTACACACCAACTTCAGGGCCTGAACCACTTCCCCCATGAACGGTCTGTGAGACACCTCCGGTTGCACGCACATCGAGGCAATGGCCGCCACTTTCGTGACGCTATCGACCGGGAAATCGGGTCCGAGCGACGCGTCCACCACGAATTCCAAACCTTCTTTGGTCGTGAGGAACGGTCGGGCCCACGCAACCAAGTTCTCTTGACCGGGCGGGAGTGACATGTCCACCGGTTTCCGCCCGGTCAGGAGCTCAAGAAGGACGACGCCGTAACTGTACACATCACTCTTCACTAAAAGATGCCCAGTCATTGCGTACTCGGGAGCCACATACCTGCAATATCAAACATTAGCTTATTTGAGTTGGTTTCTTGACATGGTATCAGAACCTTTTTGACCAAGAGGTCACAAGTTTGAAATTCACCACCACCCAGTTAAAAAAATGAAGGTTCCCATATGGTTACCAAGCATACATACCCAAAGGTGCCCATAACACGAGTTGAAATGTGTCTATTTTCTTCATCAAACGCAGCACGAGCCAGACCGAAATCCGACACTTTGGGAGTAAAATCATGTTCTAGTAGGATGTTGCTAGACTTGAAGTCTCTGTGTATCACACGTGGGCTCGAGTCTTCGTGCAAATATGCCAGCCCTCTAGCAGCACCTAGTGCTATCTTCACCCGAGCATTCCAGTCGAGTGGGGCCCTTTCTTTGTCAACCCCTGAAATGTTTATAAATTTCAGAACTGAAAAAACTCATGGGGGGTGGGGTAGATGTGAATGTGATCAACCCAAGAGAGTGATTGTACACAATACCATGAAGGTGGGACTCAACACTGCCATTTGGGACAAGTTCATAAACCAAGCAGCGTGCGCGTTCCTCTAGACAGATCCCAATCAGATTGACCACATTCCTATGGTGTAGCCGACCGAGCATCTCAACTTCAGCAAAGAACTCGCGGCCTCCCTGATGGTCGTCCCTCTTAAGAACCTTAACAGCCACTTTTGTCCCATCCTCTAGGGCACCACTGTACACACGGCCAAACCCACCTTCCCCAAGAACTCTTTTTTCGTTGAAGTTATCAGTTACTCTCTCTATTTCAGCTATACTGAACGTTTTGGCCGAACCTGTATAAGCCACAAAGCTTGAACTTAAGGATAGCGAAGGAGAGTTGGGTCCACTTCTTGTGACTGAGGCTGCAACCCCTAAAGAACATTTGACCGTTAGTCTGACTGCAAGAGTTGAAAAAACATTTGATAAGCCGTAGTGGAATGCAAATGTGATGTAATCAGAGACGCTTCTAGTGTAAATTTACACTAAACATGCATCTGACCACATTGCATCGCATTTCATTGCTGTCTTGCCAGACCATACCTAAGTGAGACATCAAATGTTAGTTCATATTGATAATACCCATACCTCAGAATGACGAAAAACAAATATTTCATTATAATATGCATGGAACATGGAATTAATCAATAGTAAGCTCAAGCAGTACTTTTGATGAACTCCAATAGAAAAGACATACTCCCTCCGTCCCAATAAAAAAAAATCTTATGTTACTATTTACAAGGTCAAACTAAATCTTCTTTCATTACATATTTTCATTGATCGTTTGTTAAAATAACATAGTAAAGCCACTTGTTTTGGATAACTTCTGATGTAGTTTTAAAATACATAAAATTATTTTTTAAGCTTTAATATTAAAATAAATTGAAATTGAAAATAACTTCAGTAAAGCATCGCAAAGCGCAAAATCAACTTTGTTTGGGGACGGAGGGAGGACTTGTTTCAGAAAAATGACTTCCCATTTTGAATCCGAACAAAAGTAATTCCCGGTGTGGAACAAAATGAGACTCTTTTTTTCTCCAATAAACAAACAGAGTCTAAGCTCAAGGCACATACTTGGTGATTTTCCAAGGGAAGGAATTGTAGCTGGTGGGGTAGGATCCGATTCGAGCACCCTGTCTCTATGTTTGAACAGAAGCATCCATGCAACGGCGCAGCACAGTATAACTGCACCAGATGCTGAAAGCACTATCACTGCAATGAGGCTTCGATTCGGCCCACCTCTGTGTCGCCTTTTGGTCACATCAACACCAAGAGGATGTATATTCCTCCCATTATCCCCGGAGTATGGGTCACTACTTATAACTCCATCATTTAAAGGTGCAGATGGTGGAGATGGAGGAAGACCTATGCAAGTCATAAGAGTCTACATTCATTATTTTTATGAATGTTTTTAGCTTAAATTGATGGGAAAATACGACCAACGTTTTAATCATCACAAACCTGGATACCGCACATATAATACATCATAATCGCCAAAAAATGAAGCACTTATATTTACATCTTTGTGCCAGAAATTCTGAAATGTCAAGAAAGCTGTTGTGTTATCAAACTGTCCCCCAAGGGGTACCAAATCAATGAAGACAATTGTCTTTTCTGGATACTGGTTTGCAGAGTTTGCTCCCATGATGCGAACTTGGCTTCGATCCATTAGAACTCCACAAGATATTTCATAAGCCAACCTTGAAACTAAAGGGAAGAAAGTGTATAGTGCTACACCAAGTCTCAACCCAATTTGCATCGGCAAGGCACAGTCACAAGAAGATTTAGGTGGGGGTGTTGTGAATGGTTCCATGCATACCAATGAGGAGCAATCTACAAAATAAAACATGTGCATTGGATATTGGTAGTGAAGCATAAAATCAGTGACATCGAAAAATGTGGATAGATATATAAATATATATATACCTTCATTAGGTGGTGGGGGTGGAAGGACAAACGGATGTGGGAACAACATCTTTGGATTCCTTGCTGAAGACCAAGAAGGCGAAATTTTACTGGAAGGAGGAGGCCCTTGAAATTGCAAATATGACAGAAAGGTAAGCAATCAAGACATGACTACTCAAAAACTAAAAATTGTACCGAAATAATACCCGAATTTGATGGTGGGTGAGCAATATGGTGTCTAAGGTTTGACTTTGGATCTGAGCTCGGGCCAAACAAAGGCACTGGAGCAATTGAAGGTGGTGGGTGAGCAATATGGTGTCGAAGGGTAGACTTTGGATCTGAGTTTGAGGCAAACGAAGGCACTGGAGCAATCGAAGGACCTATAAAGATCATTCAAAATGCCAGTTAGTATGACATACTCTGTTAACCATAACTCAACCCCAAAAGAGCTTTCAAAAGGTGAGGATTGCCCAACACTTATTACGGGGTTCATTAATTCCTATTTATCTGATTTGGGACATTATTCCACACATATAATCAATCATAAAAGACCTTGTACAGTTGAAGCAAGAGGAGGAACTGAATGCCATAATGGAGAAGCAGTTTTGTTCTCCTTTGCAAAATGGTGCCTCAGAGAGTGCCTCACGTTTTTGTGTGTAGATGGAGCTAGAATAGAATGAAAAGTACTCAAGTTAATAACATTGATAAATATATTTTATCACCATCCCAAAAAAATGTTATTTGATTCATGGTGAAATGCACAAGTATGTGTCTCACCTTTTGCCGGAGAAGTATGCGCATTAATGTCATGATGAGCTAATCTATTAGGAGGTGCAGCGACAGGGCTGGCTACTCTTTCTCCATTGATGCTTGGTAGAGGAGTTGATGCATCCTGCTTAACTGCATAAAATAAGTACAGATTGGTATGGTATTGACTATTGACATATATGTAGTATATATTAGAGTAAATTTTGTGAAGAAAATCAAAATCCATATAGCTTATCGATTTAAAAATGGCAGAACAATGTGTCATCATAAAGGTTAATGATGTCAACATATTATGCATGTGGAAGCTTAACCTACAGTCATTGTGTTTTTATAGAAAATACTGGAGTATTATTTTGGAAGTGATTAAAATTTAATGGATGCGGACAATATCTAAAAAAACTATTTTTAGATTATGATAAACATTTGAGAATGTAGTTACTCCGTACTGATGAACAGTGTTTCAGCCTATCCGCCTTTCTTCTAAGGAAAATTTCCCAAATAACCCTTATGTTTGGAGTACTTCTCAAAGTGATCTCTCTTATGAACTCCTTGAGGCAGAATAAAACACTATGCGTGGCTTAACTAGATTAAACCAAACCAGGTCAAAAATAGCTTTAAATATAACTTGAATCAGAACAGACCCGGATCAGACCTTAACAAAATCAGATCCAATGAGAAAAAAAAAAGAACAAGCTCTAATCGTGGGCCTGCTAACAACATGTTCAGATGATCCGTTTACTTTCTGTCAAGAAGATATTTTTACCCTATATCAGGTTTTTTAAGCATTCAAATGAAAGGGTCGTTTTGAGAAATGCCCAAAACCTAATAAGTAGCTCAGAAAACTTCCCAATCCAGATGAAGAAGCGTGTTAGAATCAATCACATAACACACACCAAATCCAGATGAAGATACAGTTACAGAGAATAAATGGTACAGCCTAAACTTTGGGTCGGGGTTGCCCAAATTTTGATGAGTGCTTGTAAAATTCTACCACACACACGCGCGCGCACACACATACGTGCATGTAGCAAGACACATTGAATAATGTTGACAATTCAATACATAGATTGTATCAAATCCTTGCCTGGTGAGCTAGACGGAGGCTCCTGATGAAGCCTTTGATGGACGGGATGAGTGTGCCCTAAAACTTTGCTTGGGGGTGATGCAACTGGAGCTTCAATATGATTATATGATACATATGATTACCATATCCCAAAAATCATTCTCCAAGTTAAATAGTATTAATAATAAATGTAGACTGGGTATACCAGCTGGAATAAAAGGTGATACTGCATGCTTGACCGAGTGACCTAATGGTGTATCTTTCCGTTTTCTGTTTTGTTCAGTTGCACTTGTGCCTGCAGCATAAACCAAGAGTGATTTTTTAAATAAAAAAATAGCCTTAGAAATATAGCTACTGCAAAAACAATTTAACTTTCTTAATTACGTGGAGCGATATGCATTGGCTGGGGAGCATTAGTTGATCCATATTCTCGAGGACTTGTGGGCCCTGTCTCAACTGGTGGCATAGCTGGTGGAGATCTCCTTAAAGGTTCCTCGACAGGTACTGCATGAAATAACAAAAATCAATTCAACTGGTTGCCTAATTGGTTGAATTTAGGACACTTTGTATCAGTTTCTCAGGTTGGTAAGAGCCACACATCTAAATACAATATATACACATATGGGATAGTAACGAATTTTATTAATTGATCGATTGGATTCAATCTTCTAGTGTAGTTCAATTCATGTGCATATCATGGATCCAACCCAATTATAGATTTTATCATAGTATGAATTCACTTGGATTAAACCTTTTAGTCTGGTGTGTTCCATATGCATCCAAACCCAGTTGAGCGACTCCAACCGAATTTTAAATTCGATTATAAGAGGCACAACCGCACAATAACTCTTACACTATGTCTGGTTCCCCAAAAATGGGAGGAATTTTGTTTTGCCTTCTCTTAGTACATTTTTCCTTCTCATTTTCTTTTCCTTCCATTTTTCTTTTCTTTTCCTCTCTAACCAAACAAGAAAAATCGTTTTCCATCCCATTTTCTTTTCTTTTCCCTTTCAAAACATTTGAACCAAACATAGTGTCAGAGAAAACCAAAATACCTTGAGGGACTGACACTGGAGGGGGAGTGTCCAGTGCTCTCCTTCCATAAGGACTTGGTGGCAAGGATCCCGTCACAACTGGCTCCATGCTTGGTGGACTTTGTGGCAATTTACCTAAAGGAGGCTGCACGGTTGCTGGAACTCAAAACAAACAACAAATCAATGTGTTGCCTAGGTTGGGGTGTTTTTGTAATATTTCCTTAAAAGTGATTCAATCACCTGGAGCAATTGGCACAGTAATGGATGTGTCTGGTGGTCCTTCCTCGCGAGGGCTTGGTTGTGGTGAGGATTTTACCACAACTCGTTGCCTAGTTGGTAAGTTTTGTGATGATTTCTTTGAAGGTGGCTCAGCTGCTGCAGCAACTCATTACAAATACAAACTACCTTAAAACTTGTTAACCTTGTAGACTTGTAGTGCCATTAACTCATAAAAAACAAAATTTACCTGTAGGGGCAATCTGTGGAGAACCAGTTTCATGGGGTCTTGGTGGCATTGTTGGTGGCAAATCCCTTAAAGTTGGCTCAACCGGTGCTACAACTCATACAAATAACAAAATTCATTGGTTGGGAATTGGTTTATTTTGTTGTAACTCGACTAAAGCTGCTTCAGCTGGTCCACCTAGACGTTGGTGTTTTTGTAAATATTAAAAAGTATAAGGTCTTACAGCAAATATATGTTTTGCAAAGAAAATAAATATTTAAAATTTTCTTTTAATTGTAATACAATTCTAACATTCTTTCGCTTTGTACCCAGTTTTTTAAGACATCCCAAAACTTTTGCAAGTTTCACATTGACACCGAAGCGTACAACACCAAGTATTCATGCTGCATACACATAAAAGAAAAAATTACCTGGAGCAATCGGTGCGTGGAGAAGACTATTTGGTGGTGGTTTCTTTAAAGGAGACTCATCGTCTACTGCAACCAAAAGTTAACCATTACAAGCACATAACTACCATATCACTCCCTTCGTCTCCGGACACCGGGGGGTATGATCGTCCCAAAACAAACTCATTTTTCCACTTTTATTCATTCATACCTGGGGATTGTGGGGCCATAACAGGATGTTTGGTGCTTGGGAGCTCACTCCGGGGACCACTAAGGGGTGAGACTTGGACTGGGCCTTGAGAACTCATTGGAGGAGGAGAAGGGACAATTTCTTGCCTAATCATGGGAGGTGGAGAATTCATTGGAGGAGGGGTATGTAGGGGACTGTAATCATTAGGTGGAACTTCTGTAGGACTACTTGGTGACACTGACACTGCAGAACCTCTCAATCTTTGAGGTGCATTGTCTAACTCTAGAGGCGGCAATGCAGGCGGTGGAGGGCTCACACTTTTCCCTGAGTTAAGCAAAACCAAAACTTCTAAGGGTATGTTCGGTTCCCGAAAAATGCAAGCAAAACGAAAAACAAGTGCAAAGTAAAAAAAATCTTATGAATTTTTAAATTTTTACAAAATGAAAAGGAATGTGAAAATTATTTGTCTTTTTAATTTTGTCACACATAATTAGATTTTATGGTATTCTATACAATATAAATAAAGAAAAAAGAGGAAGAACAAATATCTAAAATGATGTTACTAAATCTGAACTTATGTTTCATTTTCTCCCAGATTTTCTTCCCTTCCAATTTAATTCTATATTTACTTTTCCAAGTATTTTCAAAGTTCCAAAAGGACCCTTAATTTATCAACATTTTGGTAAATACTTAGAGGTTGTTTGGATGTGCTTCTACACAGACTCGTAAATGTGTTAACACGCAACCATTTCTTCTTAGAGCTACCACATTTAAGAAAAGCACATCCAAACAAGCCCTTTTATTGTTAATACAGAATGAAAAGTCCAACCATTTGGGGAAGATGATGGGATAGGTGAGATGTTTGCAGAAGATGCTCCATCGGAGATAGGAGGAATCGCAGCAGAAGAGGGGGATAAACCGTAACCTGAAAAAGAAGTTCACCAAAATTCTCCTATAAACCCCACAAAACATTATGATTTCAAGCACAAACATATCCACTGAACCACATGGCATGGCTGTTTAATGTTGATCAAACTTGAAGAAAAATCTGATGCCTTTCTAAGAATGACCAGATCAAGCACAAATGAGAGTGCATTAGCCAAACTTTCGATCCGAATATTATCTAAAATCATTTCAAAGTATAGACATAAAGCAAATTGAATCCAATCCCATAAAATCAATTTGAAGACAATAAAATCATTTCAAAGTATAGACATAAAGCAAAATGCATGTTTCAGAATGAAGAAAAACTTAAATTACAGGTTGAAAATTATCTTCAAATCCTAAATCCCCAGATTCATATATGAATCGAAAACATAAATGAAAATGAAGAACAAGAAAAGAAGGAAAAAAAGTTACCTGAAGAAGCAAGAAGCAGGGAAGAACAAACAATGGCAGATATTTTCAGCAGAAAAGGAAGAAGCTGAAGCACCATCCCCTTGCCCATGCCCATCCCATACGAACCAAATCCCAATTTAAAAAAAAATCACCAGATTTAATGACCAAATCCAATGAATAAAGTTGATTCCTTTGAACCAATCAAGAAAAAGGAGAGGATAAATATTGAGAGGCAAGCAATGAAAGACTGTTAGTTAGTAGGAATCCCCAAACCCAAAAGGAGGGTTTGGTGACATGAGATGAATTGAAGCAAATCAAAGCAAAAGCAAACAGTGGGTTGTTCTGAAACAGTTAGCTTGACATCAAAGACTGTAACTTTTTTCTCTCTTTTGGGTGTTTTATTACAGAGAGGAAGCGTTTCTTTCTGCCATGTGAGCACTTAAAAGATCTCTCTTTCTTTCTCTCTCTCTGGGAGAAACTGACACAGCTGAATTAACCACTAGTGTTAAATGCTTTTAGAAGACAACAATTCTTTAACATAAAAGTACTCCGTAACAGCCACCACTTAATTTCACTCATGACATTCGAAGAATATATAAAAAAGTAAATTTCATAAATAATTTTTTATTACAGAGAGAGTTTATTTTCATAGTTATATTGACTCCCAAAATGAGGGTCATATAATGATATGGCTCAAATTGAAGTACTCCGTAGTATTTTCTTAGTGCTCAGATTGAAGTATTTATGATATTTCGTTTGAAAATTGATGATTATTACTCTTAACCTCCAATAAATCCTCTCACCCTGGCCCGATTCAGACTCGCTCACACCCCTACTAATTGAGCCCCCAAATTAATGAAGTTGTTGATATTAAGTTTATATGTTAATTCAATTTATTTTTTTCTCAGTAACTTGTGATTAAATTTTTAAAAATTTAATCAAAAAAGTCAATCTGGAAAAGAAATTTACTAAGAGAGAATATTTTGATTCTTAATTTGTCAAAGAGTTGTGTTTGTGGAATGGTATAAACTTAATGCACTATAAGATTTGTACACAATCAAATATCGCAAATGAATATTATCGTTTCCCAGGAAAAATGTGTTTATGAAAAATGAATGGGATACATAAATAAATTTAATCCACGCCTATTTGTTCATTTTATTTGGTGTACTAATAATTTATCCTTATGAGATAGGATTGTCAAAATAGTGAAATACTGAGTATCATATTCTGATCTGATATTGATGAATGCAAGATATTTTCTTTTTTTTTCTTTTTGGAAGGAATTGCTCATTAATAGTACTATTAACAAGAGCAGCTAATTTTTATTGTTATACTATGTTTGTGCCAGCCCTTTGCGTTGGATGTTTGTGTCGGTTATTGTTTCTGTCCCGGATCACTAAATAACTAGTAACGAGTAACGAGTACAAATAAAAATTTAATCATTAATTAAATAAAAATTATTCTTTTCATTTCAAAAAAATTGTCTCACATCAAAAAATGTGTAAAATCTCAACTTTTTTGAAATTATCTTATTACAAATTGATATAGAAATTAAAATTTTTAATTATATTATAAAAAATTATAACATAAGGTGTGACAAAAAAAATTTATTTTATCACTATAATCTATAAATATACAAATAAACAAAAATAATAGAACACAAAAATAGTAATTGAGACAAGTTTTTTGACACAAATGGAGTATATTTCATAATAATAAAATAAATAATCTTTATTTTTATTTAAATTTTTATAGCTAGTTAGTAGTGGTTTGTCTAATTTCGCCCCATAAAATCATTTCTACTTATTTAATCACCGCATCATAACTTTTCAATGTAACATCATTTTCTATTTTCATTTTCTCACCTCACTTTAAATGTTTGGAAAAAAATCATCAACATAGAGAAAACATCAAAATAAAAATTTCTTATTTTTAATCACGAAATAGGAGTTGCAAAGCCAATCATATAATATCAAAAAATATTGCCAAAATATTGCATGATCAAAGAACGGAAAAATTGCATTTGACTATGTTTCTTCTAGAGATCGAGAGCATGGAAAGTGAGAGAGAAGAAAAGAATGGCCCACAAGGAGAAAAAAAAGAAAGAAATATTTGCACTAAATAGCACTAAAACTTAAGTCATTTCCCTAAATAGGACTTAAACTGTTTTATTCTTTAAATAACACTTAATAATGTCCATAATGTCCAGTGATGGCGAATATTTGCTCGAATAATGACTAATGCATAATGACTAAAAGTGCTACATTGGAAAGAAAAACACATGTGGTGCTATATAGGGAAAGTCGTTATGTTTTAGTGCTATTTAAGTAAATTCCTCAAAAAGAAACTCCTCGCTCTCGCTCTCATCGTCAACACTCTCACTAGGAAAAATCTCAGCAAACGTAATTTAAAGCTCGATCGCGATCGACTCTCTAGTTCTAGAGGTTATCCTCACAAAACTACTTCTGCGAGCTTAATTCTAGTACATGCGCTCCAAGCTACTCCTCATTATTAATGTTCAGCTTACAGGAAGATATTAGGAATATTAGATGTGAAATTTGCACTAAATAGGACTAAAACATAATGACTTTCCTAATGTAGAACTTAAACTTTTTTATTCCCTAAATAGGACTTACACTACAAAAAAAGGAGGCATTAGCGACAGGGGTCAATATGTCGCTAAAGGTGGGATATCTGTCGCTACATGCTTTTAGCGACAGATAATTGTCTGTCGCTACGCTGTCGCTAAAAACTCCGTCAGTAAAAGTATTACCGACAGATAAAATATAATGTCGCTAAAATAGTGTAATAGCAACAGACCAAAGATGTCGCTAAAAAAGAAAGGAGTACCGACAAAACATATATGTCGCTAAAACATGGATTACCGACAAAAAATAGTGTTGGTAAATCCTTCTTTTCTGTCGGTAATACCTTCTTTTTACCAACATTAACATTTATTATAACTGTCGCTAAAAATTGGATTACCTTCAAAAAATTATGTGAGTAAAACATTTTTTCTGTCGGTAATATTTTATTTTTGACCAACATTAACATTTATTATAACTGTTACTAATACCATATTTCACACCAGCATGCTCTATTTAAGTGATATCAAAGAACTTCATTAACAAATAAAAAATAATACTCATACTTGTATTAACAACAATACATGATACGATAACATTTCAAAGGGTTACAACTAACCCATTTACTAGAAAGTAAACCAACATCTCAAAATTAGTTCATCATTTGCGTACGTTTCAAGCTGAAGTATAAACAGTCAAAGTGAACTAAATTAAAATACGCATTGATATGACAGATATAGTCCAAAGCTTTAATGCTCGTCAATGTCTACATCTTCAAGTTCATCACTCTCAGCTTCATCATCTTTATTCCATCGATCCTCATTATGACTTTGCTCGGTTGTATTACCATCAATTGTAAGGTCATCAATTTCATATTCATTAGTTGTTGAACCCTATGCAAACAAATTATAAGCACAAAATAAAGTAATTACAAATTTTGCACTAAATTTACCTTACACTCATGCACTGTAACTCGCCGGAGACAGGAGTTCACTGTAGGGAGAGCTGCTGGACTGATTGCCACCGTCCGATTTCCGTCCAAAATCAGACCTCCATGCCTCGCTGCTAGCCGATCAACGATGAAGGCCAACCACCGGCCCTACTCTGTGTCCAGATGCTGATCGAAGCGAGCCCACAGATACAGTGTAAACCTCCTAATCCCAAGTGGTAGCCTAACGTGAATATATTGATCGTGTCAAAATTGAAGCTCAAGAACACATATGTTTTACTCCCCTTTCAGGTTTCAGTTTATAATTATATTAAAAACACATAAATTCTTGCTTCTCACACACATGAGAGGCTCCAGCTTTCTAATTGTCAGTAGTATCCAGGCCCTGGGTCTATCCCTGGTTTTGATCATGGTTTTGATCATGGAACAGACATTTGACACCGAGCCTGACATCCACGGTAACTTTTATTCAACTCTCTCCATAAAACAAGTAGAGCATTACCAAAGTATATACAAGACAATAATCTAGTAGGGAGTAAGAAAGAATTAATAATCATTTACCCAATGAAAGAATAATAGGATGATACCTCAAGAAAAGCACATGGCTCATTAAGATCTGCATTAAACTCAAAGTGATATGTTTTCAAATGTCCAAAAGATTTAGCAATCTCCATAAGCTGGAATAGCAGCATAAAATTTATGCTCTCAGGCACGATGAAAAAAGAAACTAGAAACATTATCTATAATAAACCTTTTACCGATGTTAAGATTAATTCTCTTACCATATCAGATGAAATAAGTTCGGAGATTCCACCAACAAAAATCTACAATATGTAATAAACATTGTTGGAACAGAAAAAAGGGATTAACAAAAGTATCAAGTAAATGACTAAATGAGAAAGAAAAAGGTGCCTGTGAGGCCAACAGTTCAGTGAAGCTAACCAAATCCAAAGTGCACTAAATTGGGACAAATAGGGGTTTTAACTAATTTGGTTTCATAGAGTAGATAAGAGGCAATTCATATCTTTGGTAAGGAGCTTCAAGTTGAGGTAAAAGCTATTTGTTAAAAAGATGATCGTGTTTACTGAACACTATTTTTCGATAATTACTCACTTCCAAAAAGTGATTCCGGAAAATTTCCCTTTTAAACCGAATAAGATATTCGCGTAGAAAAAATGCCCGGCATCTCTTTTGGCCACATGTTCTATTCTCAAAAAGAAAAAGAAGACGAGAAACAATTGCCTTAATGCCAAATAAAAGAGTGATTATAAGTAGCTAGACAGGGTCCCTAAAGGAACCCAATGGCATATGTGGCATCTATGATCATCATCCAATTCATTTTATTGTGGAGCTTGCTTTGTATAGAAATGAAAGGTGATGACGATTGTCGATTGACGATGCTACATGCTCTATTAGTATCCCTGATGAAACCTACCTAGCTCCATAAGTTTCTCAAAGAAGGCAAAACAATAGCAATGTGCAAAAGCCATGGCATGTCTGTAAAAATCGTGGACACTTATAATTAAAGTTAAAGATGTGAATACAGTACATACCATGATATGAATAGAATTCCTAAGTATATTGTGAAATTGAAACCAAATCAGAGAGAAGGGCACCCATGGCAGTCTAACAAGTGAATACAAAATTAGACTGAACAAATCTAAAGAAAATAGTGATAAAGATTAGATTGAAGAAAGGTGAAGAAATTGAAAACGAATCAGAGAGAAAGCCTCCGTATGATTTCCGTCCGGAATCATGGAGGTCGGAATCGGACCTCCATGCCTCGCTGCTAGCCGATGGACGATGAAGGCCAACCACCGCCCTGCTCTGTGTCCAGATGCTGATCGAAGATGAGAGCCGAACGCCCGCAGTTCTGGTCGAAGAAGAAAGTCGTCGCCGGTTACTCTGTTGCCTCATCGTGCTCCGTTCGTGTCTCACATCCCTAATCCTCGATTCCGTTCCAATGTGTCGTCCACCTCTCGTTCCCCTAGCTTGATCTCCCTTCCTAGTCTATCAACATTAAAACTTCTCAATATTGTAAATTGGCCCCCATTTTGCTAATGTACTTGCTAATTAGTCCTTTCCTTATATTTAGATTCTAAAATCAAATCATAAACACAAATTCATCCAAAATCATACGGAGTAATATTAACCAAGGTTGTGCAATTTAATATAAAAACAAAGTCAATAAGTCTAACAAAATATAACAACACATGTACAAATAATAGACTTATCACTTTTTTACCATGAACCACAAAATAAACACAAGGCAGGAAATTGAGGCATTTTGGGCTGTCACAATGTTTGGGCCATAACTTTGGGTCTTGACCGATCGGGATCCATCTTCGATCCCAAATCCTACTTTTTAGACTGTTAATATTGTTGTTTTGTCTTTTTTTGGTCTTTTTCCTACTTGTTTACAAATTTTTAGCTATAAATAACTTGCTTGTGAGCAGTTTTATGGAGACTTGGTATGGTAGTTACTTCGGTTTTTGGTTTCCAATTTCACGGTCAATCCCCTGATTTTTGTTTTTGGTATGGTAGATACCGTGAAATTTTGGCTCAATTTTCTTGAATGACAATATTGTTTACAATGTGAGTATGAGACTTAGATGTTGGTTTTGATGAATTTCCAGTATGTTGTGGTAGAGACAGATTTAATATTTTAATCATTTTGGCATTGGCGGGAATTAGTTTATATAGTGGGAAGGTAAGGAGTAAAATCTCTAGCCTTTACACATTCCTACAAAAAAATCACAATGTCAAATGAATCAAGCAGAGATGGAGGTCTGTGGTGCGATTTGAAAGATTTGGACGACGATAAAAAAGAGAAGGGAATTTGTGTTAGAGCCGTTCGGGTTTACGACTTACCCACCCGTGAAGCAAGGCCAAGCACAATAGAAGTGATTTTTCATGACTGAAAGGTAAACACTTTAACCATGTAGATGCACATTTCAATTTTTTGTAAAAACCTTTTTTGCAGTCCTTAAAATATTTCAATAAAGTTATTTATTATAAACTGTGTATTAACATGGCTGAAATTTTGCAGATGTGATAGGAAAAGTAATTGCAAGGACTGGAATTCAAAGCCGATTTGTTCTCGGAGTTCCACAGAGATTCATTGAGCTAACTTTGGAAGATACAAGGTTATGCTATGTCCTCTAGAATGTATATTCAACTGAACTCTATTTCTAATGTAAAGTTACCAATATTTGGTTTCATAGGGGCCAACAACTACGGTGCACTCTTTGGGGAGACTACATTGAAAAGTTTAATGAATCTGTTGGTGCAGGGATCACAAATCCTATTCTAATCGTGCAGTTCGGCCGCCCAAAGGAATACATGAGTACCAATCTATGTTGCACTAATTTGATTAGAAAAAGGCATATAGGTTAACAATCAGAGGTAAATGTAATAAGGTACTGAAAGATACTACAGGTTATTCGAACCTGTTATTCATCAATCTCATGCGCCGAAAGCTTCCTACAGATTACAAAATAGGTTTTAAGAATATGTTTTATAGAGAGTAAATAAAATATAGATAAAATATACAAGGCATGTTTACCTTTTCTGTTCTCGATAAGCACACATATACCATAAGTTCCTGAATTAAACCAATAAATTAGATTTTAGGGTATGGACTAAAAATTAATAAATGTGTTAAAAAAGATAGGGGTTTGAACTTATCTAGAATCTTTGGACCGAAATTAACAGCATCCCCTGTATTAAAAATGAATATACAACATTCAAATGTCAGCCATATTTTTGGTTCATTTTATTTAATATTTTTTGAGAATATTAATTAAAAAAGTTAAAACTAAGCAGACATAGCTAGGAATCTCTGACTTCTAGACCATTAATTCCTTTAAGCACTGAGAGATATAGTATTCGTAAATGTAGGTGCTCAAAATTTTAAATATATTGTTGTGTGTTTGAAAAAATTTGTAGATCTCGGACCGAGATTCAAATATTAAAAAAAATCAAAACCCTTTACATCTGCACTAGATTAAATACTTCACCCGAAAAAAAAAGCTCATTTGACTTTTATTAAATACAAGGACTAATTATATGCATGGGCTCAAAATTAAAAATATTATGTTGCATATTTGAAAAAAAATTGTAGATCTCGGACTGAAATTCGAATATAATAAAAAATATTTATAAACCCATCGGCCAAGATAATATATCTTAGATTAACAAAAAACACCAATGAAAAGTACTCATCTCGAGCCATCGGCATCACAGAAAAATTATTCTGTTATATCATGAATAAAAATCGAAGATCTTGGGACTCGACGCAAAAAAAACACAGATAACGCACATGAACCCTTCGGAATGTACCTAAAGCTCAAATAAACACATAGTAGATCTATTACCCAAGAAGATTCATTAGTGAAGACCTTGATAATAGATCCCAGACTTCATCTTCGTATAGAATCGGTCTATGTAAAACACTAAAAACATGACAAAAACAAAAAAAAATAGGAAAAATTATCAGGAATCAAATCAAAACATAGAGAGAGATTAATCCAAAAGAAAAATCAAAGTCTCGAAACCGAGGCTTCAGTTTCTCATCGACACGATGAACACGAAACAAAAAAATCAAACTACATAGAGAGTGATTATTCCAAAAAAAATATATGTCTCAGAAAATAGACATGAAGAAGATAAATTTGAATATGTTAGAGATAGAAGAGTAAGAGAGAAAGAGAGAGAGAGGGAGAGAGACGGAGACAGAGAGAGAAGCGGCGTATGGGGGGGCTGGTATAAATATTAAGGGTTTACTCCGTATTATTTAGGGCTGGGTTATGGGCTTGGTGTAGTATGGGGTTATGGATGGCGGGCTGGGATGTTACATTGGGCTGGGTGGGCTGGGCAATTGGGTTAGATTATTTGTTTGGGTAAGGAAATTTATACACTAGATAATGTAGAAAAAACATTTTATGACATTTACGTAATATTATATTCTAAAATTATAATTTAATTTTAAATATATTATATTAAAACACATTGATATTAAACTATGAATGTAAATCTTTATATTATTTAAGAATACTAAATTTTAATGGTAGATTGTTTTTCAGAAAATGAACGGGTAATTCGATCAAAACCATCATCAGGGGTTTTTGAGTTCAATTCGACCCGTGGATGCAATATTGGTCAAACAAAATCTGCAAATTTTACTCATGGTATATGTACTTTAGTTTCAATTAATATATATTTTACATAAGTTTAATGTAATATTTTATTACTCTTTTTTTAATGATTTTTAATATTTCCAGGAACATCAATTAATACACCTAATTCTTTGCGTCCCTTGCGCTCAATTGATACGAATTCTACAAATTCTAACTTCCGATGCTATCAAGAATCTGAACGTCAATCCATGAATGTAGCTAGAAGTTATGAAAGATAAAGAAAAGCTCTGCAGTGCGAATAAAGGATTCCTTTCAAGTTCCAAAGGAAACAATTTCCTGTCATGACTTCTTATGCAATGACCATTAACAAAAGTCAAGGTCAATCATTATCGCATGTTGGGCTACTATTTAAAAACCAGTCTTCAGTCACGGTCAGCTATATGTTGTTCTCTCCCGTGTGACGAATCGTGAAGGACTGAAGATCCTATGCTGTGATGAAGAAAACAATCCTTTGGACTACACTTCAAATGTTGTATATAAAGAAGTCTTCCAGAATTTATAATGCATTCTTATATGTTTAATTTATTTATGTGTAATGCACTCTTATTTGATCTAAAACTATAAAGTGCATTGTTGTTCAATAAATGCAGTATTCGGGTGTGATATATATTAAATTGTATTTTTCATCACAATAACTCGATTTAAAACATTTATTCTTTCCAAAAATAAAGTGATTTATTATTATATTATTCTGACCGTGCATCGCACGGGTAAAATCTAGTTCATCCAAAATCATACGGAGTAATATTAACCAAGGTTGTGCAATTTAATATAAAAACAAAGTCAATAAGTCTAACAAAATATAACAACACATGTACAAATAATAGACTTATCACTTTTTTACCATGAACCACAAAATAAACACAAGGCAGGAAATTGAGGCATTTTGGGCTGTCACAATGTTTGGGCCATAACTTTGGGTCTTGACCGATCGGGATCCATCTTCGATCCCAAATCCTACTTTTTAGACCGTTAATATTGTTGTTTTGTCTTTTTTGGTCTTTTTCCTACTTGTTTACAAATTTTTAGCTATAAATAACTTGCTTGTGAGTAGTTTTATGGAGACTTGGTATGGTAGTTACTTCGGTTTTTGGTTTCCAATTTCATGGTCAATCCCCTGATTTTTGTTTTTGATTTGCGGTTGACCGACATATCTTTTAACCGCATTGGAAATGATTAAGAATCTCTACCTTATTATTCTATATCAATAATATGAACAATTCTACTTATCTCCACTAGCGTTTTCATCCCTCTCATTTTTAGTTTGTTGATTTGTTCTTTTATCATATGTCTTGATTCTATTCGGTCAGTTTAGTTTTTTTAGTTTTAACTTATAACTTAAAAATCTGAAATTAAAAATTATAATTTTTAATTTGTAAATATTCAATGTAAAAAAAATTATTTTTAATATTTAATTTTTAGTTTTTTATCTTTTAAATTTATAATTCATTTTTAATATCGTATATTTTTGTGTGACCAAACAACAAAATTCAAATGGATGATTTTCATTTCCAATTCCATGACCTCAATTTCGTGTTTTTCCTTAATGATGCCTAATTTTATGGATTTTTATAATTAAGATATTTAAATTAAATGTCAATAAAATCAATACCGAGAGATAAAATGTTGTTGCTAAAACTATAGTAATACTGACAGATAAATTTTTGTTGCTAATACTATAAACAATACCGACAGATAAATGTTTTGTTGCTAATACTATAAACAATACTGACAGATAAAGTTTTGTCGCTAAAAGTATAAACAATACCAACAGATAAAAGTGTGTTGCTAAAACTATA